GTCTGTGTTCTAGAACCTGACGTAGTGTGAATATGTGGTCTGTACAACCACGTCCAGGTCGAAAACCAGCCTGATTTTCTCTAATCTGCTCTTCACGTGCTTTAGTTAGGCGTCGAAGTATTGTTGAAGCTAATATTTTAGACACTATATTTGCCAAACTGATGGTCACAAGAGGACTTCACAGGACTTCACACTTCACAGTCAGCACCTGACGTGAATTACTTCGTACAATACAAATGACGTTATTACAAAAATATATTATCGCATAAGTTAAACCATAGCATACAATTATCTGATACGCGCTAGGTTATCCTTAACCTTGAAAGGGATCGATCAAACTACTAATTGATTTCACTAGAACTCAATAACATTTCACTAATCCTATGAAAGTATTCATTAACTATATTGTAACTAGGATAGATAATAATGAGATGTTCACCCCTTTCAGAATTTTCCTAATTTTTATCTAAAATAATCATACCTGTTGATAGTTGAAAATAGATTTTTCCTCTTGTTTATTTTTTTTTCTGTAAAAGTGTTTCCCCCCCTTTTTGTGTATTTGGGTGTGGGGGGGGGTGTGGATGGGTAATTTATTTCAGTTTTCTAAAAAAGAAAAATAGAGAGAAAAATATAAAAAAAAGAAGAATAAAACATCTGTTTATCTAAAGGATACATATGAAAAATATGTATATGAATACAGTTTATCAGTCTTATTCTTCTCTTTTTTTTGTGAAAAAAAAGGGAACAAATTAGATTTACGTAAACTGATATACGATTTAAAGTATTTATTGTATGTGGAATGTATTCTGTGGGAGAGAAACAAACAGCTTCTAGCTGGAGAAAAAATTAGGAAAAGACGATGGAAATGGATAGGACATACATTACGCAAATCATCAAACTACATCACGAGGCAAGCCCTAACTTGGAATCCTGAAGGGAAGCGGAAAAGAGGAAGGCCAAAGAACACATTACGTCGTGAAATAGAAGCAGATATGAAAAGGATGAATACGAACTGGAAGGAGCTGGAAAGGATTGCCTAGGACAGGTTTGGATGGAGAACGCTGATGAGCGGCCTATGATCCTCCACGAGGAGTAACAGGCGTAGGTTAGTAAGTAAGGAATGTGTTCATTCATTTAATGTGATCATCGAAAGAGTTATAATAATTATTATTACAAATTCATTTGGTATTGCTTTTTATGGATCTTCCATTGTTATTTAAGACTGTAATTAATCAGTCTCATGATGGTATATATGCGTCCTGTGCGGATTGCCTCAATATAGCCTCAAGTCATAAGCTTTTATAAGCAATGATGGATAGTGGCTAGCAGTGGAATCCAGTTTGATATGCGTTTCTTCCTATCCTGGAACTCGTCAGCTGGATATACCTTCATCTTAGACTTGATGTTCACTCTGGGTACCGTTCGCTTCAAATGCCATCGCACTCCTAAATAACATTAAGAAGATACAAGTAAAACAACATCAAATGAATTTAAACTTCACCCCATTACACAAGCAGGTGGCTATGAGAACTCAGTAGCTAAGTGGATAACGTGATGGCGTTTGGAGCGAACGGTACTGGGTTCGAGTCTTAGGGTGAACATCAACTCTGAGATTCAGGTACATCTAGCAGTTGAGTCCCAAATAGTGCGAAACGTGCTCCCTGGATTTCATAGCTAGCCACTATCCATCTTTACTTAATAATTATAATGGTTAAAATTATGAGTCGATCTAAGCTGGATCACCATTGAAAACCTGGAACCAATGGACGGCTGTTTTGTCTTAGTACGCGACTCTTCAGCAATGCTCATCCAAGCTCCTGCAAGAGGGGCTTGAACCCAGGACCTTCGGTCTTGTGTGCGAACGCTTAGCTTCTAGAACACTGAGCCGGCCGACATCGAACGGTATTGATGTCTAGCATCAACCAATACACGTAATCGCGTGACTACCTTCCATCGTCTGAGACAGAAACCTATCTCTTCCAAACATTGATTCGTCCCACTTGTGATGGCTTCTCACCAGAACTCTGAAAATTTTTTCACGAAACTAGTTACTAATGACATAATAATCTCGACAACTCAAGACCGATAATTCCATTTATCTTGGCATATATTTACACAAATTACCCTAATTCTAACACACACACACACATACACCATTGTTAATGATGAAAAATAATTGAAAGATTTCAAAATCACACTGAAGTTATGTTGTTGTGTTTTCTTCATCTTTTCCAAATAATCTATTACATAATCTTAATGAAAGTTAATTAATAGTCTATACAAAATTGTTTTATTAGAAATGTAATCAATCGGATGCAATTATCAACCATTCTAAATGATCCTCACTTATCACTATGTGTAAAATAAAATAAGATAAATTTCAGTCATAAACCTGTTTTTTTTAAATTTTAATAAAATTTACTAAAAATAGTTTCTAAGGGAGTAATAATACGAAACTCATGATGAATGTTTCATCCTACTGAAAACTCATCAGTAGTAATGGTAGTATCTCGCAATCCCAATGTTGGCGAGACTATAATTTATGGACGACCTTTGAACGAATCTTAAGTGACCCTGAGAAATATTAGCCAATCAGCAAACAGGAAGTATAGAGAAAAAGATGTTATACAAAACCAAAGAAATAAAGTGGATACACATGTTATACGTGGTTCAAAAACTTGTCAAGGTTAGAAAGAGGTTCAGAGGTTCTAAAATCGTAATGCATGCAGTAGAGGAGATCATCCATATGGCTATAGAATAGTCGACATCTGGAGCCATGATAAAGTTTCAAAAACTCTTTCAGCCTCGACCACATAGCTTCAATGTTGCTTATGTGCACTCCGGTTGTTGAGTGCACAAAATGCTAGTTGTGGATAACAACACGATGCACATAACCAAGCCCATGTAGGAGTATGTACGCTCTCCAATCATCCTTGTATATTGTAGTACCTGGTTGCAGCCAGTGTTACTGGTGCTTTTATTATCCAGTTCGCAATAATTGTCATAGGTTGCCTAAGTTAGGAATTATATATAGGGTTTTCATCACGAATTGACATCAGCTATAATGCCAGAAATCTATTTAGCCAAATGGATGAAAGTCTTTCACTCCAAAATCCAAGATTTCTCATCTTACACCTGATTGATTCGTCCACAAATTATAGTCTCGCTGTTTCATTTGTGATAGCCACTCAATTATCACGTTTTGTACAAAACTCGTACAGTAGCATTAAGCACTGAAGTTGGCGCTGTGACCTTGAAATCTCTCAAACGATTCTGATTGTCTCGTCCATAAATTAGAGTCTCACACCAATCTTCATGTGAACACTTATACTCCAACCAAGTAAATGATGCTTTAAAATACTCGACGCTGTATTCATTGAGCTATTGACTTCAGATAGTCATTAACCAGCCTAATAAATATAACCGGTAAGCTGTGATGAATAAAGTCCAATCCATGTCGGGTGCAAGACGGTTACCCGTCACATGCAATGAAGTTAATATGTAAAACCGTTTAATACTAGCTCAAGTCTTGAGTTCTATATCCGCTTGTACGATCATGAATATGCACTGTTGAATATTCCTATACTAGAACGTAATTACCAATCATTATGTAAATCATTTCGTCAAAGTTGTTAAGATAGTTTACAAATATGATTGATTTTCACTTGATGTTGCTTTTACTTATATCTTCCCATTGTTATTTAGGACTACAATTGATCAATCTTATGATGGTATAAATGTATCCTGTGCGGATTGCCTTAAATCATAAGCTTTTATAAGCAATGATGGATAGTGACTAACAGTGCAATCCAATTTGACGAGCGTTTCGTCCTATTTTCACATAAGACAACTGTTTTATTCCATTCAACTCTTCTGTAATTTCATGAATATGAAGTCATTGTTTGTCTTTCTTTCTAACTTCCTTGTCTACTAAAATGTACAGTTTACCCATCATGTATAACCCTAATCTTTTTATTCCCATTTCTAAACTTGAAATTCATTTACATTTAAAATTCATTAGACCAATGTAACTTATGAAATATCCAATGAAAAATGTCACAATCATGATTGTATTTGTGTATTGTGTGAATATGTAAATACTACTAATGGGTTAATTCATGTCACGTACATCTACATTTATAGATACGTACACATACAAGCAAATAGGGATTTATCTGAAGGTTCATTCGTTTAGAGGTCTCTGTATGTATGTGTGTGTGTGTGTGTAATATAGGGATACATACCTGTCTACCATCATGGTTAATACATATATATGTATGACAAAAAGGATAAATTGCAGTAAATGGAGCGAAAAGTCAACTGTTTCATCTACCAGATTGTATATACCACCAAGTTGACGACATATCTATATCTATCTATTATCTATATCTATCTATCTATCTACCTCTAGAGTATATTAGACAAATAAAATAAACAAAATAAAAATCAGTTATGTCGATGATATTGATAATGATGGTGATGATGATTATACCGCTGACGATGATGGCGATGAATATATATGACAGTTAGACATTTAATAATATTATCTCTATTGATATAACAATTCTATAGTCAAAGTCAATTATCATTATACATACAAAATTGTTTTACTTCATTCTACTTGGATACTTATACATGGATACACACTACAGATAGACATGGTTACTAGTAGTACATTCATTGAATTATTTATTTATTATTCACTAAAACGACATTGTTAAATTGGGAAAAATGTTACATTTACCCTACATCTGTCTGGTGTACACATACACACTTACATACCTACACACACATACACACACCTACAAACATACCTACACACACACACCAACACATACAGACACATATACAAAATCATTTGCACTGTATCATATCATTACAAATAAAATGAAAATACCGCTCAATTAAACTGATCCAGTTTCCAAGGAAAATTATTTATTTATTTATTTTTTTGAAATGAGAATTATTATTCTTATTTTCATTGATTAATTATGTTATTAATTCATTTCAAGTTTTATTTACAAATAAATAATTTTTTATATTTTTTATGTCAATTCATGATTTTCTTATCGAATATATGGATTTTCAAAATGATACAAGCAAATCATGTCACCATGGCAACAAGTAATAGTAATAATAATAATAATAATAATAAGCATAATTTATTATTTAATTCTGATGGAAACATTTTCAATATGGAAACACAGATGGATTTGATTCATCGTTTACCACGTTACACACAAATATTGTCGTCGTCATCGTCGTCGTCATCGTCATCATCATCATCTTCATCACCGTCAGCAATAACACCAATTCTAGGTACAGAATTAATTCAACTTAGTTATAATTGTATAGTCTATGATGAAACACCAGCTCAATATAATTTACTTGATGAAACTAATGGAAATACATGTCAATTATTATCACCATCATCCTCCTCATCCTCATCTTCATCCTCCTCCTCCTCATCATTATCGAGTATACAAATGATTCGAATAAAAAATTCCGAGAAATTATTCATCAATATGAAAATTATAACAACAGCAAATCCTATGGCAAAATATTTTAATATTAATCCAAATAATTATACATTGTATACAAGTCAACATATTGATCGTGAAGAATTATGTAATCAAGCAATGCTAATGACTGATACATCGTCTATACCGGATTCTTTACGAACATGTTGTATAAATCGTCGAAAGGAATGTATTTTCCCATTGAATATACTTGTACAGACAAGAATTGGTAAAGACGATACGGTTGCTACTACTACTACTACTAACAGTATTAATAGTAGTAGTAGCACCATTTCTAAACATTCAGTCGACAAAGGAATTAATCATGGATTATCCATTATTACTGATACTACAATCGCTGATATTAGTAGTATAGGTAGTATTAGTAGTAATGGTAATATTGCTGATGTTGTAAGTAGTAGTTCACGTTCAAAATTTTTTACAATTAACATAAAACTAATTGATATCAATGATAATGCACCAAAATTTCCAAATCCTCAATATACAATCCATGTTTCAGAAGGAATACATGTTGGATCCAGGTTACCTTTACCATTAGCGGAAGATTTAGATTGTGTAGACTATAATATTGTACGGTGAGTCTGATTGTAATATTTAAAAGCATATATATGTATATATATATTCATTGCTGTACACGTATCATGTTTCAATGGTTGACATGATCAATGTTATTTTGATGGAAATAGTGAGTTTAATAAAGCTTAGACCTTATTCATACATGATCATGTCAAGAATCGAAACCACATCGTTAACAAATCACAATTGTGGTCTAATTAACTAGAACAATACAATTGTTAAGTAGTTCATAATTGATTCCTTGAGTTCAATATGTGACAAGAATTGTTTTCATCCCGTTTTTCTTTTACATTCACGATTGAATTTATTATTAGTATATGTATGAAGAGTACAGTATTGAGTTTCAATGAGAGTATTAACATTTAGATGCCGACCAATCCGGTTGTTTCTTGAATTTTTCTATTAACTGTACTTCATTTTCATGGAGTTTTGCTCTTTGAACTGGATGATTTAGTCATGGAGCTTTTATCATTCGAGTAATTCGAACACTTCACTTCTACCTGAGGTTTGTATTGATGATGTCGTTTAGAAGAACGAAGAAAGCTCCACAAACAAACCATCCAGTTCAGTGAACAAAACTTTATCAAAATCATCCACTTGAGTTACAAATCTTCTTCACCGCCTCAATTCATCTTATCTAAGTAGATTATTTCTGTTGAAATTGTGAACGTATATGTTAGATGATTTCAGTATGAAAATTTCACTGTCTTTCTAGACTTACCTTTGAGTACTCAATTTCAAATAATCATGATGTTATAAAAGATTTATTAGTTTTCACTTCTCATTTAATAAACTTCCACCTGAATAATACAAAAACAGATTAATTATCAACAGAATGGGTTTTGTGATGATCGTGGTAATTTCAATATTTGAGATCATGAGTCCATTGAATCTAGACCATCATGGAAAACCTGATAGTACTGGACGACCGTTTCCTCCTATTGTGGAACTCCTCAGCAGCGCGCATCCATGACCTCTCCTCGCGGGATTCGATGTGTCTCTCAATTTCGTGGATTAGTTGAAGCTAAATATTAACGCCGTTGGATGCCGGCCGGCTCAGTGGTCTAGTAGTTAAGCTCTCGTGTGCGAGACTGATAGGTCCTGGGTTCAAGTTTTGCGAGGTGAAGTCGTGGATGCGTACTGCTGAGGAGCCCCATCATAGGACGAGTTGGCCATCCAGTGCTTCCAGATTTTCCATGATGATCTAGCTTCAATTGACTCATGATCTCAACCATTGAGATCAATCATCATTATATATGTCCATATCTATGTGTCCATGTTTGTATGTAGTAAGTATGTATGTGTGCATGTATGCATGTAAGTGAATTCGTTCTTATCAATTTCAGTATCAAACATAGAAACAAATAGATATTCATCATTTCGAAGTTGATTAAAATAAGAATCAATAAACTGTGATAGTTTATGATCTGATTTGCAGGTAACTTGGTTGGGGTCCGCGTGACTATTGTAATCAATGGTTGGAGACTTGCTTCAGAATCAGCCACAATTGTGTAGGTGTATACACACTTTGTCTTCCTTTAAACTATGAGATTAAAATCGCTTCATATCGTTATTTCCACGTATTAAATCGTTCTTCCTGTATTATATCCTTATACAAAATCTTTCATATATTACTACCATTGAATTAACTACCTCTATGAATCCTGTGTTCATCTTGTTGTGCTAATGTGGTATGGCAACTTGGACCGATGCATATATGTGCCTGGTCCTACGTCGTAGCTGATTAACTGACTGACTAAGGCTTTTGAGGTTTGTAGTTGACAAATTCCATAGATACTCACCTATTCATCGATGTTATCACTTGTAAATCGATATATACAGTTGATTATGATATGTATTTAGTATGATTTCTTGTATTGAACATCATGTAAAATATATTATCAGTGTAAAGTATACTACTTAAATCTACTTCCTAATTCCTCCTTTTTGAACGACTTGATTTCATCATATTGATAAGTTAATGGATAAAAGTTTGAAAATTTTGTCCAGTTTTGTCCGATTGTAAGTATCTTCTTTTACAAATACTTACTGTAAATAGATCCTATTCATTGTAAATTTGATATTGAAATGATCTTGATTAAACGTTTTGATCCATTCTATACTGTAACATCGAATGAAACTATTATCAAGATACTTTACATACCTAACAGTAAGTTTGTTCACATCAATTTGGTCTTAATGAACTGCCTACAATTACACTATCTACTTAACAATATAATTTATTGAGCAATATAATATACTACTAATAACCATCCACTAAAAGAATTAAGTATTGTAATGTGAAATTCACTGAAATTCATTCAATGATAGACGATGCTTAGTAGCAGAATTCAGGACTCAAGTTTCGTCCTACATGGGACTCATTAACTTGATGCATCTGCTGTATTATTGAGGATACAAATAAATTCTAATCTCATCATAAGTATGTATGAATGTGTGTGTGTGCGTACGTGGGCGCGTGCGTGCGTGCATAAGTATATGTGTGTGATCTTGACTAAATTCTAGTCTCGGGTAGAATATCCTAGTTACTAATCAAATCAATAATCTAAATATACAAACCGCTCCACATCTAACCAAAATGTATTTCATTTAACACTTTCTAGTTTCATGAATACAAAATAATTACTAATCAAATACTGTGAAGAAACCAATGAAATATGTTCCTTGATCTCAACAACAACTAACTATATCCGGCTCAGTGTTGTAGAGGTTAAGCTCTTGCCCGTAAGACCGATAGGTCCTGGATTAAAATCTCGCGAGGCAAGGTCGTGACCGCGCATTGCTCAGGAGTCCTATACTAGGACGAAACAGCCGTACAGTGCTACCAGGTTTTCTATGTTGATCTAGCTTCAATTGACTCATGATTTCAACTAATGAAATAATTTACATATAATTTACTTATATATCCCATTTAATTTATTAAGTAAATTTAAGATGTCATATGACTTGTCTAGTCTACTTTGTACTATATGTTAGTTGTTGTTGTTGTTGTTCTTTTTTCCCTTAATAAATTGAATTAATAAGTAATCAGTATAACAATGATCCTTCATTCTTCAATTCAGTAGGCTAAAACAAAACGTTAAAAAGTGCATATCAGTAGAAGGTAAATTATGTGATATATATCTGGAAAGTATTTAACTGTTTACTTGATTGAATGAGTAGTGATGTTAGTGGAGGAGTGATATGAAGAAGTAAACTATAATGAAACTTGATTGAATTGCAAAACAAAAAATAACAACTTAGAAATTCAGGATCTTCATTGTTGTAGAAATTTTGTGTAATTTGTTTATCTTATAGATAGATTTCGTAAGAGTTTTTGTGGCTATTGTAGTAATTTCAATAGTTGAGATTATGAGTCAATTGAAGCTAGACCACCATGAAAAACCTGAAGGTACTGGATGACCGTTTCGTTCTAGTATGGGATTCCTCAGTAGTGCGCATCCACGACTTCAACTCGCGAGATTCGAACCCATGACCTATCGGTCTCACGTGCGAGGGCTTAACCTCTTCAACACTGAGCCGGCCGGCATCCAATGGTGTTAATATCAAGCTTCAACTAATCCACGAAATTGAGCAACACATTCACCATTCTCATCAGTGAGTTGCTATTTGACAGCAGACTCGGTTGAACTTGAGCGCGTGAGTGCTTAACCTCAACACCACTGAGCCGGTTATAGTTAATTGTTGATAGGTACTCTCGATCAATGGAATGATCAATGAGATCAAAAAGGAACATATTTCATTGGTTTCTTCACAGTATTTGATTAGTAATTATTTTGTATTCATGAAACTAGAAAGTATTAAATGAAATATATTTTGGTTAGATGGGGAGCAGTTTGCATTTAGATTATTGATTTGATTAGTAACTAGGATATTCTACCTGAGACTAGAATGAAATACCTATAGCTTTAAAAGTCAACAACATGACTATGAGATTTAAGGACAAGTATAACTACACTGAAATACTTAAACATTGAACCTTTCTTTACAAGAAAGGTAAAGAAACAACTGTGAAATGTTTGTAATCTTTCCACTAAATCGTAAAATTCCATATAATAGCAATAGTGATGATTAGTGTAAATCGTTAGTAGACATCTTTGAATTTCATGTTTAAGAGAATGAATCGATCGATTTCAGACCACCATTGGAAAAGCGGAAGTACCAGACGGCCGTTTCACCCTAGTATGGCACTCCTTAACAGTGGTCATCCACGATCCCGCTTGTGGAATTCGAACTCAAGGCCTTGGGTCTCGTGAGTGAACGCTTTACCTCTAGACCACTGAGCCAGCAACGAACGGTGTTAATATCAAACATCAAAAAAAAAAGCTTGACAAGCTCCACAACCCTACACTAATCTTTGAATGTAATCAGTTACATAATGAGGTGACCATAAGACAAGTCTTGTATTGGGACTAAAAAAGCTGTTCAATACTGCCTAGATCAGAAATGATTTTCTAAATTATACAAATACTGATAATAATAATAATAATAATAATAATAATAACCCTCTACCATTAACCCATGAATTTATGAAACAATTTACAAATGAACTCAATAAATCTAGTCCCAAAGAAGAGGAAAATTGGCACACTAATGACCTAAATATTTGTTTGTTTATCTGTTTTATTTTAAAACATTTGACCTTAATGTTTATATATATATATATATATATATATATATATATATATATATATATATATATATATATATATGAGGTATCCAGTATATTTTTCTTATAGTTTTCCTTTCATCTATTCAACACAAACTGGATATAAATACTCACGCCTGTTACTCTCAATAAAGAATAGCTGCCAACCAGCATTCTCCAAATCACTTTGTCCTCGGATTTCCTATCCTTCAATCCGATTGTTGTTCACTCTGTCTGTCTCCGTTTCTCATCGTATTGTGTTTTTTGGTCTTCCTCTTCACCTCCTTTGACCTTCAGGATTCCAAGTGAGGGTTTGACTTGTGATGCAGT